GAAAATACTTTATGTTAATGATGGCTTTCTCACCAGTCTTCTTCCACAGAAGGCATTGACACCACTGACTCCACAACAACATTGATATTGATAAAATATGTCTTTAAGAACAGCAACCATTCCCTCCAGAACTGAATGTTAATAGTAACAGGCTTTGTTTAAACCTTTGTCATGGAAAAGCTCCCTGTGAATCTGGTGGGGTTTGGATAAGTTCTCTGGACTCTGAGCCCAGAAAACTTTCTTCACTAACATAGATCCATTAACTTGGACAAGTACCTGCAGAGAAGCAGGGTATGTTCTCAGTAGGTGATAAAATTTGCACAAAGAGGAATTTTAGCGATTCAGTGATGAAAACAGCCTAAATAACCCGTCTGTGGCCATACTAGGGGTCAGAGTTGTCTGGTGCAAACTAGGCATTTAATTCTTATGAAATAAACAAAATATTTACTTCATCATATTGTATCTTGGAATACAACCAGAAGAGAATCTGTAAACTGTAAAACAATGTACTGAAAAATATTCCTTCTGTTCAAAGAATACTCTGCAGCCCAGGTCAGTAGTTCAGACACTCATTTCCAAGGTGATCTGTGCAAGTTTTCAGTAGTACTCATCCTCCCCACATTTCTACAGCACTGAAGAGTTAATATCTTCAGTAACCTTCTCATTTTTGCAAAGCATAAACTTTGCAAAAACACAGCATTTTGTTTAAATAATGTGTTTAGTTCTCCTAACCAACAGAAATTAAAGGTTTTGGAAATCATGTCAAGGTCACTGTATAGACTGTGCACAAATTTTGTGGTTGCTTTTGTGTTCTCAGTGACTCACCAAAAGTTGTTTTTGTATTCTTAAAATATAGATTTAGCTTCAACTTTGGTTCAGCTTTTATAGTAACATTTGATGCACTCTGTCTTCAAATCTGGAAGACATTTGTAAAGTAATTTATCTTCATTCTGTGCCTCTTACTCTTTCCAGAAAGCACTAGTGAACCTTTTATTTCTGTATTCAGTTGTAGATAAAACTTAGCAGAAAGCTAAGTTAAAAAATAATTCTTGTATAAAATCACTTACAAGAGAGAAATACCCTTCTCTAGATTTCTAAGCCCAAATGTGTCACTTTCCTCAATGATTTCATGAAAGAATAAAGGGTTTGGCAACCAGTAGTGATCAGCTGCATTTGAGTGGACAAGGACAGTTTACACACTCCTGCTTTAGATAATTGGAAAGCATCCTTAAGCATGAGCATCCAAAACTTACTTATGATCTTGAAGTTAAAAAATCACCGTTTTTCCCAATTTTGGGCATGTGACATGGTTGCATTAGGAAAATTGCAATGTAACTTCATAACTCATATTGCTACTGAGGCATAGTGTTTTAAATGCAAGAATTAGGAACATTATTGTTCACTACTGTGTATTTCAGCGCAGAAGTGGGTGCATTCTCAAATACTTAGGCAAAAAGCTAGAATCTCCAGAAAATAAGTGAGAAAGATTTTTCCTTCTTAATGGCAATTAAATCTGTCTTGAAATCCACAGACTGCTTGATAATTCTGGGCAGATAAGTATATAACAAATGAGCAGTGAGCTACATCTCAATTTTTGTTATTACTTTCGATCCTGTCTGTGTGGCCAGCCCAGCAGTGCAGTGTACATGATAAGCACAGCTCACTTTTGCTTCAGAGACACCAGGAGCTGGACAGTCCCTTGGACTTCTTCAGCCTGGGGAATATGTTCAAACTTCTGTTTAAGCTGAAGTAGAACCGCTTAAAATATAAGGCCCCTCCTTTGTTTATTTTGAGACCTAGATGAGTAAACTCAGGAATGATGTAAACGGTGGTATGGCTGCTCACCACTCGGCAGACCTTAATGGCAATGCACCCCTCTGTCACACGCCTGTCCCCTATGGCACGTGGCTACGCCTGCGAGGCATAATTCTCTGCTGGTGGTCCATTTCATTCCCACATACTTGCTGCCTTCCCCCCTCCATGGATTTAGAGAATATAATGGCTCATGACTGCTCAATTTGCCCCAAACTCCTTCTGCTGGCACACATTTTTTGTGTAGCTGGTCACACGTATTAAGAACATAGTTTTAACTTGGTGCTTCCACTTTGCTTCCTTTTGATTGACCAGCCTCAAGCAACAATGGAAGAGCTTTACCCAGATGCTTTTTGGTCTGCCTTGTGTCAATTTAACCACACACTTTGACCACTGAAGCTATGGGGATTAAATGACTATTCATGTTCTTTGTTGACACCCCCATTATTCCTAATTAATTTTCTTACCCACACATGCCTGAGCAGTATTTTATTTCTGAAGTTATTTCATTTATTTGTCTTTTTAGTAAATCACCAAGGTCACTTCTATGTAAAACAAGATGAATTAAAATTGTCTGGTATATTCTAAACTCTGGCATTATTATTTAAAAATAAAGTAACACATATTCCTAATACATTTACCTTCTCAGATTGATATTAATTTCTGTATTCCCACTGAAATTCTGATTGTCAATTATCTGAGGTACTTTAACTGCCAATGTTCTGATCTCTACAATTATCAGCTGATAGAGAAGCTTGTCTAAAATTTTCTTATTCAAGTTGGCTTTGTCTTCATTTATCTTAATTCCCATTTTTCTTTCTACTTCCTTGAGGTGGCCAATTATTCTTTGTATCTTATTTTCTTTCTTCTACAAGCATCAAAATTACTAGTGACATCAGAGGGACCAGTGAAGATCACCTAATTTCTATTCCCCCAGAAAATATTATAGTTGTGCTATGACCCCAGGACATCTTAGAAGACACAAAAAAGTTGAAAGTGTCTACTCCCACTCTATTTTCCAGAAACCACATTTCTATTTAGCTGTTCTCTTCTGTGTAAGGGAAAGGTATTTACAATGTCACAAAAGGGTACAATGAGTAGGAAGTTTTATACACTTATAACTGTTTATTTCAACACATTCTAAAAAATTATGGAGAAAAACTATTTACAGACCAACAAAGTCAGTTTCTATAGCCTTTAATCTATCTTATTCTACCATCCCACAAAGTCCTTTCCATAATCGCTCTGGTTAGAAATATTTGGTTCTAAAATTTCCCACTCTCCATTTTTTTCCCTTGATGAAAGCTTAAACTGCCTTTTAAATCTCCTATAAACTTATCTTTCTCAAACAGCTCAGCTGTCTTTAACACATTTATGCTAAGAAAGTCTCTAAAACCTCCCTCCTTCTCTCCCACTGTCCATAACTGCATTCTTGCTATCACATTCACAGCTGATCTTGTCCCCATGTGTTGTAGCTCTCTTAAAATACTCCCACATTATGTGCATTTTCCTCTTGCCTCATTTGTTTCACCAGATCCTGAAAACCCTGCATTGTCCTGTATGTGTTTTTTTGCCTTATCATGCTTATATCACACTTAGAATAGGACCAGCTTGGGGGTTCTGTACTCACTGCCTGTCTCCAGTTACATTGCCATGAGCTTTTTCAATGCTTCTTTGTCCTTACACCTAGAATTCTCCTGAATTATCTGAATTATTGTCTTTGATCTGTCATGATGTCTCCTGAAGACTGTTTTTAATTGCTGCCTATTCTAGCCTGTCTTATAGACACATCCAGGTTGTTGTGTTATTCCTGTAACTTGTCTTCTGATTTTTGGGCTATCACACTCTTATAACTCTTTTGCTTTGCCTCTTGAGACAAAATGTAAATCTGATTACTGGGAACCACTTTGATCAACAAATGGATGTGCTTGAACATTTTCATTAAGAACATTTTTGTTCTATTCAGCTGTATCCGTAACTGTGATAAAACCAGTTAATAAACATTAGATCCCTGTTTTCCACATCTTTGCTACTTTTATATTGGAGCCTTACATCACTGTTTGGTACCACACTTTGCAACATTCTTGAAGACTATTATCATGATCAGGCAGAATTAATCTTGTAAGTTTTTAGGGATTTTTTTTCTGGGAGCACATTTTTAAATACCTTATGTTCAGGATGCTCCACTAGCTTGAGGTACTGACAGTTTGCTTGTTTTTTCCTTCAAGGATTATAAAAATGGAGAATATAATTTCAGAGGATTGATTGATTGATCTCTTTATATCATTGGTGATATAAAGAGACATAATCTTAACCTCCTTGACTTTCTTCCTCCTTCTGACCATTGCTGCAAAAATAAATAGTGATGATCCTCCCTAGGAAGCAGCAGAAGTCTTGGATACCTTTCCCTCCATTTGATAAACAACCTGTGAATGATATTCCTCTCTTCATGGCACCACTCATCATGTTTATTTCAATTAAACTATTGCTTGTTTGTCTGAGAAAGCCATCATGGATATAACCAACTTTATTAAAAAGGCTATCTTGTGTATGTAATTGTATATTTTCTGCACTGTAGTTTGGAGTACTCCTGCCCTGGGTAACAATGCCTTGTTAGGATTTGTAGAGCAGAGGATATTTCTTGCAGCTTAGAATGGAACAGTAAATCTAAGCTTCAAAAGCACCTAATGAATGAAGGCCACACTTCACAGAATTTGAGTGCTTCTGTACTTGCTTGCCTTTGAAAATTACAGCCCAAACACAACACTAAATGCAGCTGTCAGAGATTTTGAGACATTTTACAGAAAATACATTTTCATGCTCTTTCTGTCAGCACTTATCATGTCAGAAGAAGAGGCATATTGTCTTCTACAGCAGTTGTTATTCCAATATTCCTTTTTCATGATAAAATCAATTGGAACTGTTTAGGCAACAGACAGCATGCTCTCATCATGTCATTTCTAGAAGTCTGTGGGAATTCCTGTAAAGCAAAAAACCACTACGTGGCCTGCTAAGCAAAAAGAGCATGAGTGCCTTTCTCTGGATATCTGTCTGTATGTCTGTGTCTGTGCATATCTGCAGGGTGTTATTGCCACTGTGGATCTAATTTAACTGAAAAAAAAAAGAAACAATGACTTAGAATTTCTCCTCAGAATGCTTCAATCTCAAATTCCATTGTGTTTATTCCTAGGAACAGTCACTCTTTCCTGCTGTTGAGATGCCAGGATCACAGCTACAATGGAATATGAAGAGAAGCAGTGAAAGGTAAAATCAGGCTGCTTGTAAAGGATTGATATGGCAAATTATATAACCATTTTTAGACTCAAGTGGATATTTAGTTTCTTCATCAGACATAGATGGATGTTAGAATGAAGCTCTATTCTGAAATGCTCTATTGAGTCATTATCTCAAAACTAAAAATGACTCAGTGCAATAGAGAAGGCTACAAAGTCTTCTGCTACACAGCACTCTGCAGCCTGAACCAAGTTACAATCCTAAGCTGCACATGGAGAGCTGCTCTGTGTGTTTGTCACCCAGAATTGTGTTTGTCAATTGCAGAATTGTGTCATTTGTGAAGTGTTTTCTTGGCTCTGCTTCTTAACTGCCCAGCTGTGTAGAGTTCTGCAAGACTCCTAGAGGTAAAAGCAAAGGCAGATGAGGTAAACAGGCAAGAAAGGCAGCAGAAGGAAGACAGTAGCTGCCTCAAAAAACCTTTACCTCAGAGGCCATCATCCTGAACTACCCAGGGAATATGCTCTGCTCACATTCTGTGCTGGAAAAGCTTTCAAATTTTAAAGGAGAGAAACAAGGGAAACTGAGGAAAATTTTGAAATGCTAAGTACTTGGGATGCTTCCTGTGCCATTATAATAGGTGCATTTCTAATGGATTCTTATGGTAAATTATTATACAGTCATACAACCACAGGATATACTTGATTGCAAATCTGGCCTCTGTACTTTAAGAATCATTTCTATAGGGAAGAAGATGAGTAGAGGAAAAGAGCAAGACACTGGCATGGAAATTAGGTCTGGGCTCAGCTTTACATAATTCCAGCTGTAAATCTTTGAGAACATCACTGGTGGTCAATTCTACAAGAACATTCACCAGTGTGAAAGAGTAACTTCTTCTCACCTAGATAAAAGTAACAGGCTTTGGTTGAACACCCAGCATCTTTTGCATGTGGCAAGCCAAGAACTGGAGGTTCAGTAGCTGACAGAGACCCAGGAGTACTGGAGCTTAGAGCAGTCTGGGATGAAACAATAAGAGTATGTGTATTGACAGCACTGGTCACAGCCTCCCCCTCCCTCACAATTGGCACCATTTAGTAGGATGTGTTTCCTATCACTTGATGGGGGAGTCTCTGTGTGTATACCTCCAATTTCTGTGAATCAGCATCTCAGCTGGATCAATTTGTGTCCAAAAAAGTTGTTTTCATGATAAAAAAAAAGTCTCCATTAATAACTTAATAGCCTGTTGATTAAAACACTCAGCCTGTGACCTGGGATCTCATCTGGTTCAAATCTGAGAGCAGATCTTTCCTATGTCAAATGGGGAAATTGTCTTCTATTTCTCCTGTAGAAGTTATCTCACTCAATACAAATTTTTGAAATAGTCTTTAGGCAAGAAAAAGAGAACTGCTGCTGTGGACACAGTTCTGGAGTGCTGTGATTTCTATTCCTCCTCCCAGCAGGTACTTCAGTATTTTATGAGAAGCTGGAAAAACTTAAGCAGTCTAAACGTCTAATTCAGAGGGCAGTGACTGGAGACCTTAGCTGGGGGATGGCAGGACCCAACTTTAATCTTTCTTCTTTAAATGATTTGGAGTAAGGATGTGAAAGCAATTCTTCCATTTACAGGTACTTCCTCTTGCTCTCTGATTTTTGAGTGAAGGTCAATAGAGAGGCCTAATGCCTGAGGGTGGAAATTTCAGAAATGTTAAAGGAAGGAAGTCCAACACAGTTCTTTTAAGCAGATAAACAGCTACATAGCAACTGATTTTAGAAGCTCCTAGTGGTACTATGGTACTGAAATCTGGGCCCTACAATACAGAAACTTTATTGTTCTCATAACTTTAGGTTCTGTAAATTCAGAGGCTGTGCTGGAACCTTTTTCTTTCCCCTCCACAGTGAGATTCTGCATTGTTACAATCAGATAATCATTCCTATTCAGAAAATCATTCCTACTTGAAAACTTACCTGGTGGAGATCCTTATCGAAGCCTCAATACACTCTTTAATGCAATAAAATGATCAGCAATGCCTAATGCTTAGTGTGGTAGTCCTGGGCTGGCAGTCTTGAGATACTGGATGCTGAAAGTTGATGGAGTCACGGCTTGTGTGTGACTGTGCTGAAACTGTTTTCTCAGGTACAATAGATAATTAAGTAAGATAGATGTAGTGCTTAAATTGTAAATAATCTTCTCACATACATCTTGGTCCAAAAGATTGAATGTGGATTTTTGAGTGGAACTGTTCTTATTCCATTCCCAGAAAACTCATCTACTGTTTTTGAGCCAACAATGTGATATTACTTTCTCCTGCAATTCTTGCCCCATTTAGCATAAAAATTATATGAAGAATAACAGTACAAGTAACTGTAATATAGCTTTCAGAACTGCATAAAAGTAATTACTAGGAAATTGTGATCCTTCTTTTCCTCCAAAACCTTATATAGTGCTAAATAGTGTGTACTGCAGTGCTTTTGAAAGTCATCACTTCAGAATGGGATTATTCCATTAAAACAAACTCAGGAAATGGGTTTATTCACTGTCTGGGTTATATAAATAAGGATAAAGTCTTCATTTTCCTTAGGACATTTCACAAGCACTAAATAGGTAAAACAAAAATTACTAAGCCTATCTATGGAAATATTTACCAAGTCAAATATGCTATTGTTAACTACATTCAGCACTTAAAAGGTAAGCAGGTAGATGTGTCTATGGTTCTTATCTTGCCTTACAACTGCTATCGAGATTTATGTTTACTGTGGGCATGCTCCTAATGCCTGTATTTATATCAACACCATTTACATGCTTTTAGTAATCTTGTTCAGAGCTTCTAGTCACCAGAACTATACTTGTGATTCTCTATGCTTTAGAAATATCCTGAATTTAGTGGATCTACCTTAATAAGCACCTTAGTATTCAACTATGAAAAATATGTGTAGACATTTACAGCTTTTAGTCTTCTTTACTGCCTTGCCCATGAAGAAACCTTGTAAGGGGGACCACTTCTTAAAGGTATAAAAGAAAATGTAAATGCAAAATGTCATTTGAGAATCTTTAATTGCATCAGGATAATGCCATTATGTGAACTGTGAACTGAACATAAGGAGAGCTACAGCTCATGTTTGTGTGATGCTTGTCTCAAAGAAAATATTTACAGAAAGAGATAGGGCAGGGTGCTGAATTTGGTGAGTCTGAAATTAATGACAGTAAACAGGATAAGCATTCACTCTGAAAGTTCATGCTTTATAGATAATTTTTCTGAAATAACTAAAGGAAAAGAGGAATAGGAAAACAAGGGAGCTCTGCCAGTCTCCTTTGTAGGAGTAAACAGGATTAGGTATAATGAGATTATCAAGTAATTCTGTGTGGCAACATCCACATAAATCAACAGACAAGGGGGAGGGAGGGAGATGGATTCTGCAGTAACTGTTAATAGCAGCAATGTACCAGCCATAAGAATAAGGCTCCCCACTCCCTTGCCCCTCCTCCCAACAAGGAGGACTATAATTAAAACTGTAACCAAGTTACAGTTTTAGTTAGAGGTTTAGTTTAGTATATACAGTTTTAGTTACAATTTTAGTTGTAGGACTATAATTAAAACTGTAACCAAGCATGGCATCTGATAGCAAGAGTTTTTCTGTCAAGCAGTCAGTGTGTTCAAGCAAGTCAGTGTGTTCTTGTTCAAGCAAGACAACAGGACAAAAATGTTCCCATGCTGATCTTTTCCACGAGCCACCGTTTGCTTTCTTCTTAATTCTCTGGAAGCATCATTAAAGATATACAAGCCACCAAAACCAGGGTAAATGTGGTTTTTGTCTGTTGCCACAGAAACAGCTCCATAATTAGGAGACGATAACCCAACCTGGTAGAATATCCTCTTTATTAGTGACATTCTACCTGTATCAGAATCAAGCTTGTCATAACCTCTGGAGGAATATAACCCCGCTGTCATTCCTGTTACCAAAGTCTTATTTGATCTCTGTTTTCCCTTTTCCTGTGCTGTCACTGGTGTACTCAGAGTTCATCAGATTTCCTGTGCTATTTAAAGAACTTCTTGGGCTGGTGCATTATTTTAAGCCTGCCTCTGTATGCTTTAAAATACCAACAGGAAGCATTTACCCTACACACATAGTTAGTGTACATTGCTCAGTTCATACAGAGAGACCAATTTGGCACATTTCATATATATACAGGATAAGGTATGAAACCAGAGGATTCTGGACCACATAACATTTTCATTTTCTGCCCACTCTTCAAATATACTTTCCATATTAGGGAACCCTACCACAACTGCTTGGGAGGGTCTCTGAATACAAATTGGGAAGTGGAATGTGTGTCATGCTGAAAAAAGTTGTGTTGTAGCAGAGGCTGTAGTTATGACTAAGGAGAATGAGAAAATTGGGGCTTCTCATAGCAACTGGCAGTGAAAGCAGAACTGTGCTGTGCCAGCATGTTTTGGGTCCACCACTTGCAGAGTTATTTCACCCACGTGAATCAGAGATCTTCTACTATGCGTGCTCTGCTTCAGCTCAGTTAGAAAAATACTCATATCAGGGCCCTCAAAATTATTTATCCCTAGGTAATTTTCATATTCTCTCTTTTCTCCTGGTGAGTCCAAACAAATAGAATGTCACCTTATTTGAAAGTTTTATGAAAGCTATTTTTTCCTATCAAGTAGGAAAAAATATGGCTTATTATTTATCTGATTAATTTGCAGGGAAAGGTTCTAAGGTTTCTTGCAAAAGCCAGCAGGACTCCTTACTGCTAAGAGTCCTGGATCAGAGGCTGCCACTTTTGAGAAAGAGGAGTAACCTGCATGCACAGGATTTCTTTCAAGCATGACTGTAGGACGATATAGGCCAGGTGTTTAACAAACACATGTGGTATGAACACACTGCATATGAAAGAAAATCTATTTAATACTTACTCATTGTTGTAGTGAAATTTGCCCTTTTATATTTTTTGGGTCTACAATATTTAAAATGAAAAGCAAATAATAGGTCAGCTAAATCCAAACCAGGTTGTTGGCAACTGGGTTCCAGAGATGGAAAGATGCCAAGGAAAGCTGATTCCTGAGTGTAAAAACAAGTATCAGGAACAATGAAACAATTTTTCTCAGTTATTCCTCTTGCGTAGGAGGCATGTAGCTCTATAGATCCAAAATCCTCCTGCAAATATTAGTGCTGTCATGTGTGTTAATTCCTCCACAGCTTGCAAGAACAGCGACATCCAAAGATAAGCTGGAAGTGATCTCTTCCCCACTAGCATCCTTTTGCATGTGCAAAGGCAACTTTCTTGCCTTGAGCTTTGACAACCACAAATCCACAGATGCTCTCCAGGCTAACATATATGGAATATCACAATGGCTAACGTTGGAAGTGACCTCTAGAGGTCATCTGTCAAACTCCCCTGCTCAAACAGGTCACCAGTTGCCTAGGACCATGTAGAGTTACATGGAACATGTAGACTATTAGAGTCTTTGAGGCTGGAGACTCTACCCCCTCTCCAGGGAACCTGTTTCTGTGCTCAGTGAACCTTACAGTAAAAAATGAAAGTGTATCCTGCTGTCCAGAGAGAGCCTCCTGTACTTCAGTTTGTGCTGATATCCTCTCAGCCTGTTACACAGCACCTCTGGAAAGAGCCTGGCTTTGGCTCACAGATTCCCTTCAGGTTTTATACATGTTGATGTGATCTCTCCACATGTTGATGTGATCGCTCCATGAGCTTTCCCGTCTCCATGCTGAACATTCCCAGCCCTATCAGCCTGTCCTAATAGGGGCAATGCTCTAATACATTAGTTATCTTAGTGGTGCTTCTCTGGACTCTCCAGGACTTCTGCACAAGGCTTTTTATTTCCAGCAATACCAAAGAGCACCCTGTGGGGTCATTAAAATTCTGTTTGCCATCACAAACATGCTGAAAGAGTTAGGGTTTGTAGAATTCCCTCTTACTTATAGTGGAAGGAAAGTTTACAGTGAATTCCAGTTCCTGAGGCAGTGGTCTGCTCTCCAGCACTGCAGACAGTAGTGCTCTCCACATGCAGGACCTTCCTGTCATGAAGGCGTGCTGGCTGTGAGCAATGACTCCCAGAACATTCTCCATAACCTTACCAGACACTGAAGTGAGACTGAGAGGCCTGTAGTTTTCTGGGTCATCCTTCTTGCCCTTTCAAAAGCTCATTCTCTTGCCTTGCTTTTTGTTTAGGATTAATCTCTTCCCGCCTCCTAGCAACCATTTGCTATTATAAATCCAGCCAAGACAGCCTGTAAACATCCGCTGTGTAAGTACCTAATGCAAGAGGAGTTAATGAACTGTTCGTAAGTACTGTTCCCTCTAGCTAGCACAGCCTGAGATCTGCACCACACATGCCTCTGTCAGCACTCTCAGGAATGAGATCTTGAGATTATCAGCAAACACAGCAACTGATAACTCGTGCTTGAGTAACTAGGGAGAAATATGCTCTTCCCTTGACATTCCAAATCCAGATGGACTTGCTGAGGACTCTATGAATGCCTTACAGGGCTGCTAAGGTGCTAACAGAAATATGTTCATCCATGTAACCAGAGTAGCTGCATTTGGTACTTATTTATTCAAGGATCCCTCTACCATCAGGGGAGATATGGAGAGCAATTTAAATACAAATCTGAGTTGGTCATTAGGGCTGTCCCTTTCAACTCTGTGAGTTAAAACAGCTGGACTTCTGACTTGAACATCTCAGCATCTGAAACTAGGTAGAATGAACCTGGCTGTATCACAGGAATCCCCTTTTTTTTCACCTGTATCATTATCTCTGTGTATGAATAAGCAAAGGATTTCCAACCAGGTTGGTGTCATCTGACATTTTCTCTGCATAATTTGAGGACCTGAACTGCCCTGAGCATCTCCAAGATGCGCCTCTATACAATCATTGAACTACAGAATAGTTCGAGTTGGAAAGAACCTGGAAGATCATATAGTTCCAAGCCAAATAATCATTGAACCACAGAATAGTTTGGGTTGGAAAGGACCTTAAAGATCATATAGTTCCAATGGTTGCCTCGGGCAACCACTATGTAATGTAAAACTGTGATCAATGTAGATGTTACTGAAATGTGAACATTTCCATTACACAGTTTATTTAGCTCCTCTAACATTCTAGCCATCTGGGTTTGCAGGACACAGATATCTACTCTGTTTATTTTATTGATGAAGTAAAGTCATTCATCTTGTAAAAACTGTCTGCCAAATCAGTTCTTCACACTCTTTCTAGTAACAGAAAGTTTAGCAAAAATATTAGTTTAAGAGATTCCTGCCTCTTGCCCCACAGCATGGTCCAAATTTCTTTTGATTGTGACTGCCTGTGCAATCACGTTATAAGGTAGATCAATGAACAATTAATTTTAAAAAGAACCCTTCAAAACCTGAAGATTTCTTACACTTAAGATTGTATTTAAGAAAGCATATGCCACTGTAATAAATAATGAGGTTGTTGTGTGGAAAAATCTGTTATAATTTTCAGTTGGATTCAGATCAGGTTTACTCATTGGCTTTGGCAAGTGAACACCCAGGTCACACAAAGAGCACTGTAAGTAATGTATAATACAGTAAATTGCATGTGGAATACTCCAGAGAGCTCAGACAGGAAAGGTGGGATTCACCTCACTTCACATTACACCTCTGCAACAAGGATCTCTGCTCATTTACAGATAATGGCGAGAAACAGCCTTTTAAAAAGGTGATTAATTTCCGATGATAAGATGAATTGTGCTCTGCTAAGTGCCTGTTTCTCACCACTGATTGTAAGGAAGTGTGCAGTCACTAGCTCAGTTGTGGACATCTGTGTTACTGACAGCTATGAATTCCTCCCTGCCTTTCCTGGCAGAGACAAGTCACACTCTTGTGTGTGCGTGCACATGCCTACACACATACACACACAATTAATTCCAAGATAACATACAGGTATGTATGTGTTAGTTCCCATGTATAAGCCCTTTCTGCTCTGATTTCCTGCCATTTCTCTTCATAAAGTGCTCATGATATGTCTTACAAATCATATGGGTTCTTCAAAGCTGAGAAGAAAGGCAACAGATCAGGCTTCCACCTCTTGTCCAAGTCCTCCAACTTCACACCTGCTCACAAATAGCAGCTCTCAACTGCCAGCAACAGCTCTCTCCTTGCAATCAGTTACTGGGACTGGCTAGGCACAAAATCAAGGCAGCAACAAGTATTTGAATTAGCATAAAAGACAGACAGTCCTTGGATATCCATGCTGCAATAGGGAGTTTAAGCACTCCTCCTTGTTAGCTCTATTAAATGATGTAAGGATGTACAAACTCCAAATGTCCAGTGTTCTCCTTTAACTGAGAGGAAATTTTAAGTTAAAGAAGTTAGCTAATAACCATGTGGTGAGTGAGAGGTTGTTTGCTGTGGGTACTGTTTGCTGTGTGTTCTCCTTGCACAAATGTTCATATCTCCACTATGCACTAGTAGTTGGTAGTGAACTAACTTCCCTTTCCTATGCCTTGGGAATCCACTCATTTCAGACATTTAAACAGATGGAGGTTCTAGGACTGAGCCATCCTTGGTACCTAGAGGTATCTCTTCAATCTGCATTATTCAGCCTGAACTTTTCTGTGGCTCCTCTCTCAGCCTGGAGGCACTAAATGTGTTGGACCTGCAAGAGTGGATGGCATGAGAAAAACTTCCACTAGTTTCATAAGCAGAAGTGAAAACTATTAGGATCTCCAGCATGTGGCTATTTCTGGGCACACCCAGGTTCTTCCTACATGGATTCAGAAATATAAGGGATGAAATAAAATTTTGACCCCCTTCCTGCTCTTTTCTATCTGTTTGGCCTAAAGTCAAGTTCTGAAGTACACAATATACTGTGTCATTGCTTGTCAGAAAGCTTTCCTGCCAGAGTAATTTGCAAACTCAAATTATGCATCACAACACCATTGCAAGGTAGAAAGGAAATTAAAAAGCTGGCAAAAATCAACACTTGTTGCAGCAATTTCATGTGGGTCAGAGCTTACCTTTGGGTCTAGGTATTTTAAATTATGGGTCAAAGCAACACTGAGGTAGAGGATAGGTTCTCCATACTCCCATCAGTGTGAATGGGAAGGGAGGCTACTCAATATTTATGCATTCCCTAACTTTGATTGTGTCACTCCTCAGTCTCAAAAAGCCAAACTCTTAAAGTCTTTAAAGCAGTAGAATAGTGACTTGTAAGGTCTCAAAAGCACCTACATCTCCACTGCCCATCTAAAATCCCAGAGATACAATCTGACTTTAGATATCTACATACGTGGCCTTAAATATGGCCCATGTAATAAAAATCCCACAGACTGTGATTCTCCATGTCCTGAAAAAACACCCTGCCTCCAGAACTGGTTCTTATCCCTTCTACAGCATCCCACTGTCTCCCTGCAATGTCTGCAGACACCGTGGCACCATTTGGGCAATCTCTAGTGGTCGTCTTCTCTGCCAGTTCAGTGTTTGTAATTTTTATTTCTTCTTGGTTTTGAAGTGGCTTGTCTGGCATGATGTTATTACAATGTTATTATTTGCTGGCCCAATGAAAGTATGATTAAAGAAAAGAATATAAACAGTCTTTGGAAAAAGATGTAATTTAAATTCTTGCTGATAAATTTAATTTCTCTGTAGACTACCACTGAGTTTAGAATTAGAGGTGGGCCTCAGTTTTAACACAGCCACAAGATAAACTCACAATAGTTCCTCTAATAGTCTTTACAACACGAGTTTAGAATTAGAGGTGGGCCTCAGTCAGTTTTAACACAGCCACAAGATGAACTCACAATAGTTCCTCTAATAGTCTTTACAACAGAATAAACTACTCACTTATTTAACCCTAACTTCCCAGAAATTGGTACATTCAGATGTCAGGGAGAACTGTGAAGTGTCAAGAAAGTGTTCAGAGCCCTGCTGCCCTGCAGTTACTACTGACTTTATCTCCTGGGAGTACCCTGGGTGATGACGCTTTCCAAAGTTATTGAGTACATCAGAGGAACAGTCAGAAAGTGCCCACTGGTAAAAATGAAGTGTAAAACATCTTTTCTTCTACTACCACTACCTCACCTGAAACTCAACTCTCTCTTTCAGTGATTGTTGGAAGCAGAAGGAAGAACTTCAAGCCCACTAAGTACAGTCTTCTGGGAACTATCAGATTTATTCATTATGAATTATTCTCAGCTGCCCTTCCTGGGAGGAGCAGGATGAAAGAACCTATAAGCTTTTTGTAATTGATTTGTGATGGGTCAGGTTCACAGAGCATAAAATAAAATAAAGAGCCTTCTATTAGGCTGAAGTAACCCAGTCAGTAGTGCAAGGAAAAGCAAACAAAGAGCTTCCCTTAGCTCAAACACTGTGGTATTCTCAGCCTATGAGCACTGACTGACTTGCTGTTATGCACATATAGCCAAGCTCTGGCCTTCCCCACGTTTGTCTTTTCAATAGCCACATCCTGGCTAGCCCGCAGTGCACAAACCCAGCACGACCACCCGGGCTGGGAGTGTGAGAATGGCAGATGCAGGAGGGAGAACAGCAGCTGTGGGCAGCATGGAAAAGCACCCTCTTCAACTGTCATAAAGTGCTGGATAAAAGATGCAGACATGGAAAGAGCTGGAATCCTCCAGGTCGAGGGCATTCTCCTCTCCCCACCAGCTTGGCTGGGAGCCACATTCCTACATTCCTGGCTCTGCCACAGAACAAGCCAGTGTTGTAGAGGCAAAGGCCAATTGCTTTGTTGTGGGTAATGTATGTCAGGACAGCTCAAACAAGAAGCCAAAGTTTTACAGTCCTTCTGCTGGCTGTATCCTGCAACCTGAATTTTACAAATTATTACTAGATTAAGTTATTCTGTAGCCTCTTTTGATACAACCCATTGAATTTAAAACTGTTTTTCTTACACTGGGAAAAATTTCCTTGGATTAGAATGTCCTTCCTTATTGAAATGTTTATGAATTGATTTAAAAATGCCACAACACTGGAACATCAATGATTTTCTGCTGGGATTACTAAAGACCCTTTTACCTTGCAAGCCAAACTCTGAGATTCACCATTACTTCACACAAAATATGACAAGAGACTCACACTTTCATCAGCAGTTTATATGCCACTAAAGCCTGTTTGTTTCATGTGCTGAAACAGCAGAACAGATAAGAAGTAGGAACAGACACGGTGTTCTGGTATTTACTATATTTTAGCCAACCATGCCTTAGGTAAATTACTCATCTACCTGTTTTCCAAGAGGTGAGAGGTATGGGATTTTGATATTTGGGTATGGTGTTTTAGTGCTATGTGATGGCTAAGACACACAGGCAAGGGAAAAACTGGGGGCTGGATGCATTCTTCACTATATTCTCTCCTAAACTCCTTTTCTTCTTCACTTATAAACCCTAGGGAATAGAGAGTGGCCAGTATTGCCACTACCATATAGGAACTTCCCTGGCTAGGTGTGTAGGGGAGAGGAGAGATACATCAGGCTGTCAAAATGAAACTTCATGATTACAACACAGAGACCCTGGAACCCTGAATATTTTATAACTTGAACTTTCACTGCACTTTTCTTTTGGTAGAGTGTCCTTAGTAGTTGCAGTTCAGGGAGAAACTACACTGTCTTCACACCAGTGAGCAGATCTGGGAAACTTGTGTGATTCTTGATGAACTGCCTTCCCTGTTGAACTGCTCAAGCAGTGGCACAGTGGGGTACAGCTTCGGATGAAGCCAAGTGGGGGTCTCCCAGAGAATTCCCAGGTAGGCTTGCAGGATTCAGTCACAGCTAGTGGTCTGGATACAGCCAACCCATCTCGGAGGGCAAAATTGTTTAACTTCATAGACACAGGTACTCTGCATCAGTTAAACTCAGTGCCAAAAATGCTTTTTTTCCCCGTCATAGGAAATTGCTTATCTGCCTTTACCATGAAAAACTCAGCCTTGTGATGCTGAAGACAATTGATAGAAATGGAATATTAGAAGGTTTACCTTTCAGATGCTTTTTTTTCCTTCCCCCACTCCTTTTGCTCTCTCTCTCCCTGCAAAATCTGTTTATACATTCATGCAGTAGTCTGAAATATGTTAAAATCTGTGAGTTGTTTGGGTCCTGATGAGAAAAGGAGGTAGGTTTAGGTCTAGGGGACTGGGGATGAGAGAACTGTTGATCATGGAAATTCTGAGACAGCAGGAGGGACAAACAGCAATAATCAGAATGGATGTAATTGTGTGTGAGCAGTGCAACTGCAAATTCTTTTTAAACAGATATCCACCACAGGCTCATTTACTATGACCTGAGCCAGAAAATTGCACATCTCTTTAATAATTCATTTTTTTCATCTGAAGTGGACAATACAGGACAATTTCAACCCCCCTTTTTTTTTCATTTTTTATTTTTCAACAAGTTTCCCTTCAGTTTTTCAGTCTGAGGTGACTAGATCAAAACTTTTGAAGAAAGTTTGTTTTCTGAAACATGATCTGTACCAAAGGCCGTTCAGAATAATTTTCTTCATGGAAACTGTTCTATTTTTGTTAAATTTGATAACAGCTTGTTTTTACAAAATAAGACATCTATGCCAAATTAAAACTGGCAATATAATTTAAAGAAGTGTCACTCTGGATATAAACAGGAAATGTTTAGAGTGCTGATCCAATGATTAATGAATGTTTCCACATCTATATGGCAGCCAATTTTCCCTTTCCTTGGAGATTACTCCATTACATAAGCTACAGAAGAGCCAGAACTTTGGTTCCATGTATTGAAGTATATAAAAAATACTTCTGTACAAATGCTGGCATGGTTTTCTCCCTTTGAAATCAATTACAGGCATCTTCACTGACTCCACTGGGAGTGAAAAGTAAGCCAGTGTCTGAAAGTTTCTTTGCTCACACCTCTTTTTTGGGGCCAAAGCAGTTTTATTCTGCAGGATTTTTCAGCCTTCCTCCAGTTCATTCATAGACACCACTCCTTAAAAGTCAGACTAGTGAGAAACCCCTTACTTTCCTCCCTGTTAAACACGGTAATATTTTTTACTGACAGAGGTAAAAAAGTGAATTTGACTGAGTAGTTCTTAACCCTATTGTATGGCTCCAGCCAGACACCCACACTAGTCTTTTTAGGCTGACCCTAATCGAAATACACATTAAAGGGAGCCTGACAACAGGCAACAGAGTCGTCTAGTTGCCCAAAGAGTACCAATTTAGGATAACAATAGCAAAGGGCAGAACTTGTTAACTAGTACATGCTGTCCCCAGACCAACAAACCAGTGAAAAGAAAAAAATAAAGGAGGATGTATTTTTGTCATCTTCTCTATTCTTTTTGTAAGGACACTGAAACCTCAGGCACCCAAGGGAGCCCAAGACCTTCAGGACAGCTGCTTAACTTGGCACTTTAATTTGCAAGCCAAGCATATCAGCATTCATTTGGTGTAATTTCTGAGAAACAGAAACTGCACTGACCAGAGCCTTTGTAGGCAAACTGAAAATAAATATCAGGTGGAAGAAGAACAACATGCTAGTGTTTTTCTAGTGAACTCATAGACAAGTTGAGACTTACCCTTGAGAGCCAGCCAGGTGCTCCTAAGTTTCTGCAAGGTGTCAAGAGAGCTCTGCTTATGCTGGAAGCAGTAGGAGGGAGGAAAACTTCACAGAAGACAGGATTACAAATCAGCATTTAGTTTCATTTTGTCTATTCTTTTTGGAGATGTCTTTCTTCAGTTTTTTCAAGCCCAAGACTGCCTTATTTCTGCTTTTGCCGTATTCTGGATATCCAGGCTTTCCAGTAGGCCTTTTGTGAGGAGGAGAAATCTCTATATAAATATTCACCTACAACACAAAAAGTGTCTGAGGTAATAACTTGGCAGAAAAACTCTCTTATGTAAGAGGAGTTGCCCCAACCTAAAATGTCTCTACCACATAGCTTTCAGGAATGAAGGGTGTTTAAAGTTAATAACTCACTGTGTAATCTTTAACATGCAAAAACGTGATTGTTCATATCTGAAATGGGTTGCCTTAGGAGAAAAAAAAAAAGAAAAATGGCATGCTTAACCCTCTTTATTAATGCTAGGTAGGAAGGAAAATCTGTACGTAATATATGGGTTTATTTTGTAGGAATACATGCATTACATATATATTATATATTTATTCTGTAGATGTACATAGCAGCTAAATACTCCCATTAAGGACCTGAGCTCAAGCTTGCTGAAGTCCATGGAGCTGCTGTTGACGTGAATGGCTTTGGATAACTCCTAGTCCTTCTACTTAAATTTAGAAGTCTCCAGTACTGACCCTAAAATGAGGACTTAATTAAGGCTTCAAACTGAAGTGAGACTTGGGCACTCTGAAAATCTGGCTTATTTCTTGAGGCACTTTGACTCAAACTGCTTCTCTTCTGGTTCTAACCAAAAGACTGCCTCACCTATTTGAAAAATAATCCAAGGCCCTTGTTGTTCTTAGCTAAAACACTGACTGTCATTCGCAACAAAGTAAATAAACTGAACTCTGTGTTTATCCTTTCTATTTTCCCTGTTCTGCTTGAGTGTGTGGGAATGTGTGTATTTTCATTTCTTTATTTATTTTGTGATCACTTTTTGCTTGCTGAAGCCACAGCTTTCAGAGTCATACCTTAATGTTCCAAATATAGTCAGACACTATTTCAGGGAACAGACAGTTTTATTCTCCCTGTTCAAAGAGATTGGCTATGTTGTCATGTATCTGTAGCACAATTTCTTTTTCAAGTACAGACAGTTATTTGCTCCACTACATCCCAGTAGACAGCTGTCAGTTTAATTGTCTCCTTCTCATTTAAGCAACTTGGGCCATCCTACTAGCACAGCTGTAGGAAATAATAAAGCTCTAGGACTCTGACTAAAAGAATGGGGCTGCATTACTGCCACACATAGAGGAGGACAGAAAATATATTAATCTGTGTAAAATAGCAGCAAATTCAACCCAAAAGTTAGGATGCACTGTTTTTAGTCCCATATGAGCTAATAGCAATACAGAATTATTCTGTGCTGGAGCATTTTTTGTCTTTGAAATGTAGCATAGATAGTTTGAGTTCTCCTCAAACTATCTATGGAAATACATTTGGAAATTTGGAAATACAGCAGTACCAGTGCTTTAGATAGACCTTTCAGGGTACAGTGAGGACTGGCTGTTCCTCAAGGGAAGAGGAGGCAGGAGCTGAACACAATACAAGACTAGCAGGGCAAAGGCCAAACCTCACCCTGGCCAAGGAAGATGAGCAGCATGGGCTCAGAGGTGGCAGCCAGAGTCAGCAAAGGATCCAGATTGTCAGGTGAATTCATGGTAGTATGTCAGGTCTGATGGTAAGGCACGAAGTAAATCCACAAATCAGGACCAGGATAAGATTTGATGAGGGCATCCCAGGGGAAAACACAGCTCAGCAGTAATGGAGCAGGTCCAGAGTAATGAGAGAAGCCTAAGAACAAGCAAGGGAGTCATTTTGCAGACAGGGATCATC